TCGGATCTATGCTATTTGCCTCGTGGGGTAGTAGGAAGTTGGTCCTCCAATCATATGGCAATCATCCGTATTAGATAAACGGATCCGGTCGTCCGGAGAACCGTCCCGACCGATGTAGTTCTAAAATTATGAGTAATTAACTAAAAACATACTCATTTTCTTCTCTTCTTAATTAGTCCAGCCGTTCCTGAGATTTGCGCCTAACGACACATTTTGGGATTAATATTCAATGCTTATTCTTCTGAGAGTCTCAACCACAAATTCAATTATATTATTTGAAATCCAACTTTATCTTTACATTGAAATGGATATGACCTGTATAGTGTAGGTGCAAATGAATAATTAATTAATGAAATCAACTTCTAGTTTATAATATTACACCGCAAACCAGGCAAGCGGCCCAAGGATGATCGTATCACCTACAATTTATCTAGACTTTGTTGGTAACTGAATGTATATTACTTATTCATTTTGTCCTTTTGCCAAAACACATTATCGTAAAATGAAAATATCTAGGATCTAGAACTTGATTATATTTAAGTATAATATATTCATTAATGGAACTACTAGGTACACGAGAAGTCTTGAATCCGACTATTTCATTTTCGAGGACCCCTCCTACTCGGAAACGATAACAAGATGGTATTGCAGATGTACTTAGGTCTTTTTGAGGGGGTAAAATCATCCAATGATTTCTTCCGTCTTGGGTGAGAAGGCGAGAGAGAGTGTCAGACTCTTACTGACTAAAAACCACCCCGTTCCTATTTCTGCTATGAGGCGGATCCTTGGTGACCCTTTAGGTTGTCCATAGCTCCGGGACTACTTATCTACTTAAGTTACGATAAACGTTTGGCATTAGAGGGGCTAAAATAATTTTTACTCGGTTGCTTTAAAATCTTACTTTATAAGTTTTTTTAAAGAATAACTATCAGCTTGCACTTGTAGCGTCGCATCATCTTACATAACAGGGTCATCTCAAGTTATCATTGTTCATTTCAGTATTCTGGGAAACTATATATCTAAAATATAAAAATGTGACCCAAAAGATAATGATTATCACTCCATCGAGTTTGTCGAGCATTCAAATCCATCTAGTATGTTTCCGCTTGATTAAACTATATGAAATATATGTATAGCATGCCTATTATACATATAATCTATTAATTATCAACATTCATAGTCATAGATAGAATAAAACTCCTAGCTTGCTACTTCGTTCCTGTTATCAAAGCAACTAAGTTAGCATGTATCGGTCAGTCTTCTGTCTCCAGACGACTCCAAATCGTACGTACTGCACTTAATTAAAAACGTACTGTTGCGAAAAAAGTATTTACATAAATAAATCCTATAGGAGATTTTTCGCTCGAAATTTGCGCTGCGCTTATGACCACACGAGACGAAATCTCGAATATAATCTGTAGACGTTTTTTAAACATTTACTATAACTTATCATTCTTATAAATAGGTAACCAAATAAGGGCTAATAAGTTCCTTTAATATCAGGCTTTGACTACTAAAAATTATCTTAATAGCTTTGATAATACAAGTGGGAAATAGATAGGTATAAATTAATATTTACTAATATTATGAATGTAAAAATATACATATTTAGTTGTCTGTTTGTTACGCTAATACTTGAACGGATTTAGATGAAATTAAGCGAAAAGTTCGGTTATATTATAGTCTTTATAAACATCTAATACTTTTTTATTTGTCTTTTACTCCTACTCAACTAAAGTGTTGAAATGTTGCATACATATACTTGGTGCTACGGTGAAGTATATAGGCCAATTATATCTGGGCAAAGCCGCTTGTAAAAGCAAGTTTAATCTATATCTTTGTCGATACATCATCACATGATCCGAGGTATGTAATCCGACAGGCCGCTACCGTATTATACGGGCACTTATCTAACGTAATCCTTTTGAAAAGCATGATAATACATTATATTTTATACAGCTAATCCATGTATTGACAATATAAGTTATAAATTGTTTTATAATTTCAATTACTGCCCTGTTAAGAGATTGCAATTGCAATTGTTTAGTTTGTTAAACAAGGAATCAATTTACAGGTAGAAGTATGTTTGGGATTTTTTTACAGAGCAAAGGAAGACTTTTTTTATTCGGACAAGCCCGCCACAACCTCCCAAATCTGCTACTAACAACTCCTATAAGCCAGGATCTACAGCAGATACAACTATGGAAACACCAGAACACTGAAGTCCGGCGCGTCTCAGGGTCATGAATAACTGTCTTGGTTCCCGCAACGAAGTGAATCAGAAGATATTATAAGAGGAGAAGACAAAAACGATTGCTTCACACTTCCCTTGGTAAATTACTGCAGGAGACACAATGAATTAAGCCTTAACTCGTCGAGTACCGGTTTTGTAGACACAATTATAGAACAATAGGTTGCGGTCACCGGTGACCGCTTGGTGTTTGACAGTTTAAGGCACAAAAAGAGACTGTACAACTGGGACAAGCCCAGTCGCCAAGCACCACGGAAATTTGAATAAAAACTAATTGTGCATCCTAAGTGTGAGCTGTGAACTTGCTTCCAATAATAGGTAGATATGGCATAAGCAGAAGAAGACTGTCACATATATCAACATCAATCTACTCGTGTAAGTCCACTGGTGGACTGTGGATATCTTCTACGTAAGAGGCTTTGCCATAGAGATGATGATTGTTGTAGAATATCACCCCATGGTTCGTCTCATACAAAAATCTAGGAAATAAAAAGTAATTTTAAGTGATTCCTCATTAGTTTTGAGACCTACGCACGTGACGTTTAACATTTTGCAAATAAATACATAACATCACGACTTTTATCTCCGAAGAGATAGGCAGAGGTGGATACCTATTATGCCACTGTACAATGTAACACCCACATTTCACTATTTATGTTAGGAGTCCCATGTATTAGGGGGTGAGCCTATTGGCATTAGTTATTGCCATATACCGGGCACAATTCCAGACTTCGTGCTACTACTGAGAATTTTCACCTCCCATTTTGAAATTGAAGGACATCGCGTACCGATTGTGTAATATAACTTCTACTTTGGTAAGTATGTGTAAGTACCAATATTGTAGTAATAATACTACAATGCACTTTGAACGCGCGATAACTTAATGAACATTTTATCACAGTTAAACAACAGTTTTGCTCGTTTCGTAGTTATATAATAATATTGTTATTTAAACAAAAAGCTTTCAAATCTTTAGTATTTATAGTTCACATCACGTAGGTATATCTATTGATAGGAATAATATGCAAATAAAGAGGAATTGATTACCTATCTATTTGTTTACTATGAATAAAAGAAAGAATGTCTGTTGATTTACTCTGTGTTACCTACCATCAAAATACAAAGATAGGTATCATCTTTTGTTGCATTTTTACAGTCTAGGTACTCTAAAACTAGCGTCTCGAAAAATTTTTTTTCAGGGATATTAATAATACGTTTTACACCGAAACTCCAAAATAATGAAATATTCGAGCGCCTTCCAAGTTGATGAATCCGATTTTGGTGTATATCGATTTTCGATACTTAGGTAAGTAGGTACCTAGGTATCGAAAATCGAAAACCTTCAGTAAGTACCTGAATGTCTCTTTTAAACTGTCCTGTATTTTTTTAAGGACGGAAAATCATCGAATGACTGCTTCCACCTGGGTGAGGCGGGAGGTAGTGTCAGACTCTTACTGAATAAAAACCACCCCGTTCCTTTTCCTGCGCTTTGAACCGGAGCCCCGGTAACCCGTTAGGTTCTCTGCGTAGCTGTTCTGTACCTATAGGTTGCATTTTACCTTAAACTGTCAAACACCAAGCGGTCACCGGTGATCGCAACCTATTGTTCTATAATTGTGTCTACAAAACCGGTACTCGACGAGTTAAAAATATTTGCTACAGTTACAGCCCATTCGAGTTAAAAACATTAGGTTAAAATGTTGATACTAGTTCTCTGATCTAGTGACTGCAAGCTGCAAGAGTAACTGTTGACCATGCCCTTCTTGCATTTGATTCCCATTCATTTAACTTTTCATTCACATCCAATGCCTAGGTATCTATTCAGTACCTACTTGCAATTAAAAAAGTAAAATTTTAGGTTAGTCTACATGCTCCTTGTGAATGTAAAGGCGGGGTGATACGTACACATCTAAGTCCTATTTATGTCATAAATTATTATTAGGTAACACAAATTTCCTAGATCACGTGACGCTAAGACTTTTTTTATTACCGCAATGCGACGCTTTATTTGTAGGTGGGTGTTTCTTTAAAAAAACTTTAACTTTTATAAATAAAAGTATCTTCCCGCGTTGTTAAGCATCGCAGTAACTTATTAGCATCTGTATTTTATTGCATTGGGTGAGAGCAGTGACATGGCTCAATTTTTTGAAACTAAACTTTGTATTTTAATCAGCAGAATTGTTAACTGTGGCTTAAGGATAATGACGCCGTTAATTTTTTGTTTTTTTTTTTGGACAATCACCCAGGTACATAGAAAAAATTAAAATAAGCATAGTTATATAAAACTTTATACTTATGGATATTACGGAATTATTTGTTGAAAACTATTTGTTCCTAGATTCGTGGTGTTTCTGATTTTATAAATAAAAATACGTTACCTAGAATTATAAATCAAGTGAGAATAAAAACTGTAAATATTAGGTACTTGTAAGTTCCGATGACGGTAATTTTTTAAATACGGACATATATATTATTGTTGATAGTGGGCTCAAATTAGTAAACACTGTAACTTACGTATCTGTCAATACAATTTATAGAATGTTTACTACTTAGACTATGCTAAGTCATGTTGCATTAATCAATGTCACTTCTTTTTTTAAAATCAGAACTGAAAACTAACATTTGATTTCTAATGAAAAAACCAATATTTTAAACTATGCAAATAAACATTACTAAATTAAAATACTCACCAATTTAAAACAATTCTTTTAAACTATGCAAACAAACATTACTAAATTAAAATACTCACCAATTTAAAACAATTCGTCAAATCAAAGTCAATATGTAACTCACACAAAATCACTAAACATTAAAAGCTGACAAACCGCGCTTTTCTTTTTTTTAATTATATAACGCGAGTTGGCGCGGGACACTGTCGGACAGCCAGCGCGCGCAGCGTCCGCACGATTTTGGAGCACTGGCCGAATTAAAAAAAACTACCGACGTTGTTTGTGCGTTACCACAGATTAATATTTAACGTAAGTATTGGAATTATGCAACCTTTTTTTACAGCCGTTGTTTTATTTTTATTGTAGGATCTACTATCGAGTACCTTTTACACGAAAACCAAAATTGAAATTGCCCTGTATTCACTTTACCTTCGGGATTTATAGACGCGTTCCCGTATTTTATGTGACGTAGGTGTGTCTAATGACGTATGAGGTTTAAAGGAGGCGTGGTGGCAGTCAGGCACACAGGAAGTACGCGGTACAGGAAAGTCCAAAAGCAGATTCATGGTTGAGGTATACTAATACCACAAATAATATGACGCATTTACAATACTGGAGGTAATGAATAATTTTATTTGTAAAGAGTTGAGTGTGCAATTATTTAAATAGCCAATACATAAACATGGCATGACCTTGGTACTACTTAATTTACGACTTTCAATGGAATTTTATACTTAAAAGAATAAATTAAGCATGGGTTCCTGTTCACCTAGGTCATGGTGATAAATGTATAAAAATTTTCAGTAAGTAACCGTTTCGCCCTCCGCAATCTCCCCAATCCCTGAATCCCCAACAATCTTCAATTTTAACACCCAAAACGCCGGTAACGGATTTGGAATGCCTTTGGCTTTGATGTTTCGGATGTCCATTGGCAGCGCTGTTTAATTGCTTACCGATCCGCCTGCCGTGTGCCGGCTAATCCCATAAAAAATCAGGACAAACGAGATAAAAGAAGTTATTTTTAGTTACTAACTAGTTAGGTGTATAACTACAGATAACAAGATATCGCTCAATCAAATCATGCGGGTATTGTAAGCCATATCTATTGAACAGACGCGCATTAAGCTATCCGTCTTACTTCATTCGTATTTCGCCTTTATTACTACCAAACTATAAAGTTGTAGTTCTATTTCAAATATTTTATAAGTTACGATAGCTTTATATTTGTCTGTACGACCTCTGGCTTGATTTTAACAACGGTAATTTTTTAGTAAAATCAGGAGCGAAGCTAGCGCCGTATCTGCCGTATCTTATATGGGGCCCCCAGACTACGTGTCCCTTCGTCCAGCATACTCACCATGGAATCCTGATATTTCATGAATGTCAAAAAACTGTTCTAAAATAGTGCTAAATAGTGCCCAAAGGAAAAAAATAGTGCTCTTGTACTTGCGAAGTTATAGCCATAGTTCGATGAGTATGCTGGACGAAGGTTTCGCCCAGCATACTCACCTCCGTCCGGAGAATCTGTATACGCTTCAAACATAATTCATACTTCAAAAAATAGTTCCCAAATAGTGCCAAACGGTGCCCAAAAAGAAAAAACAGTGCTCGAATAACTTCGGAGTTATAGGCTTCGTTCAGTGAGTATGCTGGGCGTAGGTTAGATTATTTTGAATAATTTTGTCAGTTGTAATGTAAGCATTAATAACAGCAACTTTATTTTTTATGCATGATTTACTTCATTTGATATCTTAATCCTTCAAGCGCCGTGATCTAGACAAAATATATAAAATCATCAATGTCCAATCAGAGCGACCAGCCGAACGCGCTCGATACGTTACGAATGCGATAGTTATTCGTGCTGGGCACTCTGATTGCTTACCATCAGACGACCTCTCTGTTTGTTAACTGCCCTACTTATACATGCTTTTTTCAAATACTTGATCAACCAGGGGGCTTACTCTTGAATCCAATTCCGACCGATAGACATTCGTATTGTGAAATTTCGTACTCTTGAATTGCAACACTAGCGCCCATAATTGCATCCGTATTGCATGGATATTGAATGAACTAAATGGTATTGAGTTTGGCTTTATATTCCGTACTGTGAATGCTATTTCAAAAGCTATGAAAGGGGTTATACAGTTTTGAAATTGAACAATTATTGAGATTTTATTATTCAATTGCATTGACATTGATTTCAAGACTAAGCCCTGTACGGTGATTTTGATACAAAACGCCTAATAAAATGTTCTAAGCAACAAGCACTCTGCGTGTTAATTTGCTCCTAATTTAATTAAGTAAGTCAGTGCAACTTACACTAGCCCGACTCTGAAGTGTGACTGACAATATATTAAAGAAAAACAGGTGAGAAATCAGATCTCCGTAAGATATCTTTTGTGATTTTAATTGTTTAGTAGTAAAACTGACTCGAGAACAAAAAACCATTTACTTTTATAAGTCACATTCTAATGGCTTTTCGAGTTTGGCTTCATGGTGTGTAGAATAGTAGTGGTTTATATTAGATGCAGTGCATTGAAGCCCCAGTCGAAATCTAAAATATCAAGAAATACACTAAATGTTGATTTGGCTATATTGTTGATTTTAGGACTTGATAGAAAGAAAATCAATAATGGTTATACGTTTTATTGAATAAAAATATGCATACAAGAACTACACAATAAAATATGCCATTATGCACGTGGGTATGTATTAATTATTAATCATCAAAAATAACAGTATCAAAGCCCAATCAAAGAATTTCAGAATTTACTCTAGCGGACCAATGACAAAAAGGGGGAGGCCTATATCCAGCACCTAGTGAACCCAGGTTCACCCTCATCATCATATCAGCCTGGACTGATATGAGCAGCCAGTTGCTCAGTCACTCGGGTTACATACTTACATAAGACACTTATGAAAAATCATTTTCGACGACCAGTTTCAATAACCTATCTATCTTAATTATGTTTTTCGGCTTACTTACTCTCGTAATTATTTGACGAGAAACTCGACTACTTTCAAGCCATGCTAGAGCGCGCCCTCTGTCTTTATTCACGCGCACTTTCCTCTATTTGTGGGCACTGGGGCCGCACCACAGCATACTCGAGTAGTCGAGCAGCGCGACAGTCACCGCGTTGCGGGTCGTGGAATGCTTGCTCATGAATATGAGCCTCTAGCATTCCTTGAAACTAATCGAGTTCCTCGTCAAACAGTTACGTAAGCTGAAAACATAATAATTAATTTAGTATGTCTCACGAAAGTTACAACATAAACCTATCTATATCTATATGTAGATTTGCAAACTAGATTTTTTTTATGGTAGAAGACGGGGCGGCGAACAAGTTTAAGGATCACCTGATGGTAAGCAATCCACAACATCAACACAAGTGCATTGCTGGCCTTTTGGGGATTTCGGAATTGGAGATGGAGGAGGAAGATAAAATTTGGAGTTTAAATAAACGTTGCCCCACCCTGAAACTTTTCTCAGATGCGATTGCAAACAAAAATTGACATTGTTGTTTTTTTATGGCAGAAGCCGTTAAACGAGCAGACGGATCACTTGATGGTAAGTCATCGGCTTCGCCCATTGACACCTGGAACACCAGAGGCGTTACAAGTGCGTTACCGGCTTGTTGGGGATTAGGAGTTTAAAGATCGTTGGGGATTCAGAGATTGGGGGAGATTGGGGAACCTCACTCACACAACGAAAAACAACGCAAGCTTTGCTTCACGTCGGTTTTCTGTGAGGCCGTGGTATCACTCCGGTTGACCCGGCCCATTCGTGCCGAAGCATGGCTCTCCCACAAATAGACAGGTTACTGAAACTGGCACAGTAGTACAGTATACTATGGGGTAGCCTTACGTCGAAATAGTCAAATGCTACTCAATTTTAAGCCAATGATGGCGCGATATTTAAGTACAAATTAAAATTAAGTAGCCTTTCAGTATTCGGGCATTAAATAACTACAATACAAGCACTTAAAATAAGTAGATAATCATCCGTCTAGTAGCAATTTGCAATAACTAACTAGCAATTTGATTTCTGAATGTATTCTTCAATTACTAAGAGTGGGATGTAGTTTTATATGTAGTTTAGTACAATTTAATAGATTTTTAGGGCAACGACAACGATACGATTACCTCTAAAATACCAGCAGCTGTAGCCAAATGCCATTTAGCGCTTGTCTACATGTAGATTATAAAGCCAAATTATATGGCATTGACACCTGTCAGTGTCATTCCCATACATTTAGTTTTCTACTCTCTCGCTATACAAGTGCTAAAGTGGCGTTTGGTTAAAGGCACAGTATTATTACTGATCTGATCTCAATTTAATACCATCTAAGATCGATTTTTGACATTAATTAAATTTCTATAGAAAAAAAATAAGTTTGAATTATTACTTACAACTAAGGACATTGAAAAAAGGTGGACAATCTCCTGAAACAACGACTGTAACGTCTGCCTAATACTGAGTTACACGTAGAACATAAACACATTGACACGAAGGATACCTGTCATTTTCTAATTCTGGTTACGTGGTAAACACACGCACACATAGAAAAAGCCACTGACATTTTGGTCCTTCAATAATTCCTAAGTGACATTATGTCCGCGTTTTTTTCAACGTCCTTGCCTAGAACAATTGGAATTGCTCCATATTTTGGATTACGATTAATTTTGCCCGTAAATCAGTACTGAGTGAGATATCACTCAATGTGAGTCTAGTGAGGGTTCAACCGTTTAACCTTCTCCATAAATGCCAGCAGTAGTTGGTTTTCGTCTTCCGTCGTGATCACTTCTCTAATGCGATTAAGTTTTTGGTGCATTTGAAGTCTTTCCTCTGCTTTGAGTTTACTATATTTATGTTCAGGCGAACTAACATGGTCTACCATATCGTCCCAATCCTCTCGAACAATGTTACAATAACCGCAGTGATACTTTTCCAGCTTTATCTGAAAAAAAGTTATAACTAGTTCAGGCTAAGGCTTTAATTAATAATACTAAATTATGGCTTATAATTTACAATATCTGATCTCAATCCAAAATCTGTAGATTTAAGTATATCATTTTTGTCAAAAAGTTTAGTTTTTTGTCAAAAACAGATCGATCGCCATCAACCAACAGACGGAGGCGCGGTGAGAAAACGATCCTTCTCACTATCGTACTATGGCACCAGCGGTCGCGGGATCTCCGGTCACCGTATGCACGGGCAACCAAGACTTAGAAGACTAGCACCGTAGACTTTATAACATAGAGATCGCTTCTAGGCAAACGTAAAATAGTGTAGTGGACGCCCTCCAGATAGTTGGAGTGACGGTATCCGGAATATAGCGGAGCTGATGGTTGATCTCAGTGGCGTGCTGTTGGAGGCGCATATGTCAGCAGTATACGGAAACAGATACTGATGATTGAAACAACCAGTAACTTAGAATTCAAGACGTCTTTACCTACCTCTCTAATAAATTCGTCCTCCATAGAAGCTACCACGAGACATTTCTCCACAGCCTCTCTGTGCTCATCCTTTATTATGTGTTCCAACATATTATTTTGTATTAGATCTATATTGCAG